GGTAACGGTAGCCGTCCGGCGGAGCCGGCGGAGCCAACGGAGCCGGCGGAACGATCCGGACGGGACCGAAACCATGTGTACCGCCAGCGCTAACGCTGGTGGTACAATTAATATATATTTCATTGCTGCAAAGCCTCATAGACTGATGTTTGATATATTAAAAATGAGAAACCTTACCTAATTCCACACCATTGGAATAAAACTTGGGTTTTTCAGGTGCTGGAATCCCCTCTGTGCCACATTCAAAGGTGAAGTCATCCCCGGCTGTTACATTGGTGTTCTTAGGTAGCCCAGTTTTTGTCCAATAGGGGGCAGCTAAGCAAGACAAGATAAAACCAATATGTCAGTGATAACGAATGCTGTATAGTGCATGAGAGAGAGAGAGAGAGAGAGAGAGAGAGAGAGAGAGAGAGGGGAGGATGGAAGGAAACAAGAAAGAGAAAAGGCACATAAATTAAATTGCCTTACCTTCCACAACAACCTGAATTTCTGCGCTCTGAGAACCACCCGTATTGGACCCAGTGCAGCGATAAGTGCCCTCGTGGTCAAAGGTCACACCTTGAATGGCCAGATTTTGGGTTTTGTCTACAATGCCATCTGGATTCATTTCCCTGCCATTGGCATCCAGTTTGTACCAGCGAACAGTGGGAACAGGTCTGAAAATAAAGAGGCATTTCAACCACCTGTGCCAAAAATGTTTGTACCAAATGGTCCAAGAATTCAAGGTAACCCATGAATAAATCCTAGGGAATACCCTTTTTCACACCAATAGCAAAGGGAGTATTTTATATGTACAAAACAAGAAGTTCAATAAAAATAATATGGACACAGAGGAAATATATATCTTAATTGGCTTTTTTCATCCCAAATGTGACTACAAAGTATGGCTCAGGTGGCAAGCTATTAAATATATATATAGCCTTCAGTTGTTTTCTAAAATCCAACCTTTCTAGAGTGATGTGCCATCTCCTGTTACTTACTTTCCAGCAAAAATACAGCTCAGAGTTCTGTTCTGTCCCTTTAAGAAGACAACAGATTGTCCTGATGAGGGCGCTGGTGCAGTTTTGTACATCAGCTTTGGGGCATTGTTGTCCAAGGGATTAGCTGGAATGATAATTATGAAGATGACAATGATAATGATGAACTTTAACATGGATCTAAGGTAAGCTCACAGTTTAAATAATGTTTTTTGTAAAAAATGTATTCAAAAAGACAATGATTTTTTTAAATCTTCCAGTAAAAACGAAAAATATAAATAAAAGATCAAACTTGGAACAAAGTTTTAAAATAATTACAATAAAATAAAATTATGTAATCGAAAAGAAGCAATACATCAACTATTTCAAAACCATCAATGCTAAAATTTGATCCTCCTTTGCAATAAGCTTTTTTAAAAATAACTACCACTTACTAGTGTCAACATTAAGTTTAATTGGACTTCCAAAAACGGATAATTTCAGAAATGAGTTGTACGCAGAACATCTATACTGTTGATTGGGTTGAGAGTCATCTCTGGTAACAAACGCAAACCTCAGAGCTCCTGAAACAAAATAAAAGTCACATCCAAAGTGATCCCATTTGAGAAATATTTGGGTTTAAAACTTTCAGAGATAATAAGAACATAGCCCGTCTCAACCCTTCACTTAAAGCCAGTCCACATATACCATTTGTGACCCATTTTCAGGTGAAATTATAAATTGGGTGCTCAATATCTATTTACAACATCCCATTTCATGTAGGATCCTTAACAACAGCATGTTACCTGTAATACAGTACCATGCATGTAACATACTGTGCCAAAATATCTCATTACAATAATACAAAAAGCATATTTTAAATATTTTCCAGTTTCTCTCTCTCCCTCCTTCATTCTTTCTAACCCTCCTCCCCTTCTCTCTCTCTTTCTCTCTCTCTCTCTCCCTCCCCCCCTCCCTCTCTCTCCTGTTAAAATCACAATCCCCTCAGTGCCAGTCTTACCACTCTCATCCACCTGTCTCCTCTTATCATCAGGCAGAATGGCCTGGGTTTCTTTCACAGACCCCGAGGCAGGCGTGTATAGTTCCCACTGAATGGTGGGATTGGGGGCCGCATAGGGGAATTGCGGTTTTCCTGAACACACCATGGTGACATTCTCGCCCTCTCGGACCACCTTAGTCTCTACTGTCTGGTTGTAGGGAAAAGCTCCCGCCCCTTAACACAAAGAAAATAAGCAAGTTACACATTTTTTAAAAGATGTTAATAATATTGATGATCATCCATAACAGATATCCAAGTTTAAAAGTAAAAGATGAGTATTACACATTAATACAGCAAAGTTTTAATTTTTTTTCTGAACTTTCAATACTTTTCATGTAATCATCCACTTTAATTTTTCATTCAACATATCCATTACATTTCCAAAATTATGATTTTTAAAACATTGGACAGTTGGGATGGGTATGGAAAATAACATTACAAATATCTGTGCCTTAAACTTTTCATATTTCACGAGTGACAAGAAAAGGAATCACCATCAAAGGCCAGCAGTTTGTATACTTACTCGATCTTTGGAAGAAAGCAATTGTGGACACTGCCACCATTCCATCAGTATTTTTGGCCAGGCACTGGTAATACCCCTCGTCACCGAAACTTGGGCCGTTGATGCTGATGGTGCCACCGCTGTTTGGTTTGTAATTCCAGCCTCTAGTACCCACTGACAATAACTCACCGTTTTTCTTCCACTCATAACTGTGGAGTATTTGAAATAAATATTCATCATTTCAGATTCATAGTTTTGTATGGTTAATTTTACCTACATGCTGAAAACTAAACAAATTTAACTGAAAAACAAAAAAAAAAAAAAAAAAAAAGAAACAGCGATTCTGACTAGCAGTTATGAAAAAAATATACAATATCAAAATGGCAACTTCTTCAAAAATCTTCCATGTCAGCAAGCCATGCTAAATTGTCACGTCATATATTTCAATATAGCCAAAAAATAAATGAGGCTTTTAAAATAATTTTTGCCAAAGGATGTAATATGATTACTTGAATTGGCTTGTCTGAGAACAAGGTATCTCAGTAAGTTCAGTTGTTTAGAAGGTAAATGAGCAATAACCAATTCAACCCAATAACGATCTCCTTATATTTTTCATGTATTTTCATTTTAAATTAGTTTTGTTTTAAAAGAAAGTCAGTATTTGGTAGCAGCGAAAATGTTTTGGTTTGCTATGGTTATAATACACTTACTATGGCTCAGGGATTCCTTCGGCACGACAAGGTAATTCCTGTGTGAAAGTGGCATCATCTATCTTAAAGTAGTACTGTCTATTAGGCTGTACTATAAATCTTGGAGGCAGCTTCATGTCTGAAAGAGATTTAGATTTTTTTTTCACAAAATCAGTGAAAGAGGCAGAAATATTTGCCAGCCAAATTTCAACCTACCTAGTAATCGGCCTACAGATAAAGGTTTCCATGCAAGTAAGCAAATCTCTCATTCCCTCCTCTCTGATGAGCTAAGGACTTTTTTCGGAAGGAGAAAAAAAAATCCAACAAACCTTTCACCATTCACAGCACAAACAATGTCATGCATTTATACATTTTAATTTATATCACAGAAGTAAAAAATGTCAGGCAACAAAGTATCTTGGTTCAGGGCCAGCATAATGAGCTTATTATAACATCAAACACTGCCTTTATAGGATTCACATGTCACATTTTGTTCAGTAACCTTTTCCATAAATAAAGTATTTAAATCAAGCTTTGTTCTGTTATTTCTTGAATTTTTGTTCCTTTTTTACGTCATGAGAGAACAGTGGATTGACTGCTCCCCAAACGCCATAAATTCCTTCCTGAAATGTGATAATTATTATGTCACTCAACAATTTCAACAGCAGTGAAGCTTAAAACATCAGGTCACATGCAATTTTTATTCAGCACCAAACTCTAGACTAGTACACTGAGAAAAAGTATAAATTTTAACAATTAGCTATGCCTTTTTTTGTGTTAAAAAGATGCAATATTTTCAATGAGGTGGAGTATCTCTGCTTAATTTTAGGTCAAAGCTCAATGAAATTTTCTATCAAAGTTAAGATCAATTTTCAGCCAAAATTAAGACTAATTTTCAGTCAAAATTAAGGTCAAGTTTCCATTTGATGTCTTCTTTGAGGCCAGCCCTAGCCCGGAGTCAGCACATTTTTATTCTAGTTTTTCACAAAGAAAAAACTCAGGGGGTTGCAATAACACCAAACAGTTGTCTTGACAAAATAATGTATGCTGGCTATGTATACCTTAATTTCAGTTACATGCAAGGCTACCATGCACACATATATATATAGTGACAAAAAACACAACACAAGGTTACTGTAACTAATTGTGTAATTCTTTTTTTTTTAATTCTTAATATCTATTGTCAGTGTCTTATTTGGGAAAGGGGTAGATTTTATATAGTCAACATAAATACATTTGCCTATTATTTATCATCTGAACAATCTTACAACTGATGATGACAACATCAATAATGACCCACATGGAGACAACACATGTTTGGTAAGAAAAAAAGATATTCTCTCATGCCAGAGTTGTTCTGATGACAACAACGTGGACTTACCCCCAACTGCTTCCTCATCTGCTACAGTCCCATTTTCTGTGATAGCATATCAATATAGAATCACAAACTTAACCCAATCCTTTATGAACTTTTGTTCAGCAGAAACATTTGAGTCAATTTCATATCTGTTGAAAAATACAATAAAATAAAACCGGCCACATGCACATTTTTTCCTTAGGAACCCAATGTGTTTTCACCAAAATAGCATTCTTATAGCTCATACTGTTTTATCATTCAGTCACAACCAAAACAGTGACTCCTCATTGCTGTCACAACGAACACAATGGCTCCAAAATGCTGTCACAATCAACGCAATGGTTCCAGAATGCTGTCACAACCAACACATTGGCTCCAAAATGCTGTCACAACTAACACAATGGCTCCCCAATGCTGTCTCAACCAACAAAATGGCTCCCCAATCCTGTCACAACAAACACAATGGCTGCCAATGCTGTCACAACTAACACAATGGCACCCCATTGCTGTCACAATTGACACACCTGATGCAATTGGTCTCTTTTGCTGTCACAACCTAACACAATGCAGAGTTCAGTATGTTTACCTTGTGCTATCACTGTAGTGAAGAAAGCTGCTATCACCACAGCTGCTGCCTTCATCATGGTCATTCTCTGTTCTAGCCTGTAAAATAAAAAATTCAATATAATAAAATAAATATAAACAGTGTGAGAAATCACACCTACACACACACACAGAAAAGAACTTAATCATTTGGCCAATTTGAAAATGAAATGGTAAAAAAAACTTGATTCAAGCAGAATGACTGCACTTACCATTTTCTTTGGCATGCATTACCCTTGACCACATTTAAGTTAAATGCATATTGCATTGTTGACAAAAATTCAATTGTGAAACAGACAATAACAGAAAATACACATAAAACAGAAACTAGACCAATTATAAACAGTGAATTTAAACAATGAAACTTATACAATGAGACTTATTTCTGACAAACAGATGATCCAATTGACTATAAAACCAAAAACACGAGTCAATCATGTTGACAATAAAATATTGTATCAAAAGAAGGACTTTACCCTAAAATTCTAGGATAAATTATCTTCTTCTATCTTCACCAACCACCTGGTTTCATGAGCACCCTAAAAATGTAATAAATTAAATTAAATAACTTAATTCCATACAAAAATGCATGATGGCTAATCTTTCAACACAAAATACTATTAAGATAAACAGTAATAAATTGAAAATAATAAATACAATTCAATATAAAGGTACACAATGGCAGATTTTGCCAGCCAAGCCCCTGTTAGTAATTCTAAAAATCCTTGGCAGAATCAGGAGAGAGGGGAGGGTTTAGAAAAACCCCTAACCACACCCTGCACTTGACACCACATAGAGGGTGTGGGAAGGGTGTAAGGTGTGGTGTTACACATTTTCTTCATTCACTTTTTAACAATTCTAAAATTAACTTAGTGCCTTTTTTAGAGGGGTGGGGAGGAAGGGGCAAAGTTATCTTAAACATGTTTAAAATGGGAGTAATTTCAGTGCTTTTCATTGGGATCTATTTCACAGATAGGCCTGTCCTTCAGTTAAGTCAATTGCAGAGTTGAGATGATTCCCATAGACTGATGGTGTTATGGTAATGCTTGGGAGGTGCCAGCAATTTTTTCATTTAGCCAAATTACGTGCTTTTTCATTACTTTTTTCTCTGAATGGTTTAAAATTTGACTAAAACAAGTCAAGTCAACTTTATTTTGCTTAGTCCATTTAAGTCAGTTGTAGCATTTGGATAAATTGGCAAGTGTTACCCCAGGTAATGGGGTCACAGACTCAGTAACCTGTCAGCCACTCGAAGCCTCGGCCTCATCTGTATGCAAACTGTGCCTCGGCTACTATTAGTGAATGGAAATTGTATGTTAACCATCAATAATGGCTGGCAATATCAGTGAGGATCCCATTAGTAGCTCAGTAAGCAAACATGGGATACCATGAGGCGTATCTCAAATCCAGGGACTGATTTTCACAACATAACTGGAGAACTACAGTTGGTCTTGAACAAAATGCTCATCAGCTTGGTTTCTAGATCATATAATAATCTTAATGAACACAAATTGGATTATTTATTATCCTGGTTGAAGGCCCTCATCAAACTGCTGTTAGTTGATGTTGTCACTCACTGACTGCTAAGTGGTATAGCAGCCAACAACCAGGGCTCCGTATCTTGAAAGGTTTGCTATGTTACGCACGTGCGCAAGTGTCTCAATTCCATACTGATTCTTTCGAGATACAGGGCCATGGAATCGAGACGCTTGGGCACGTACACAAGTGTCTCGATTCCTTAACCGATTATTTCAAGATACGGGGCTATGGAATCGAGACGCTTGCGCACGTGCGCAACATAGCGAACTTTTTGAGATACGGAGCCCTGGTATCATAAATATCAAGTAAATTGCCCCTCCTCCCCCACCCAATATCCCTGTTCATGGTTGGTGATGGCAGTAGCTGTCAATGAGTAAGAACATATACTTGCATAAGCTACCAATGGTGAGAAAATTTTAGCTTGTGTTCAATAACCTTTATAACAGTTGGTCTTGTCTTAAATACTGGTGTATTTTAACCCAAAATAATTCCTGACTTATCTACTAAAATATGGTAACAATTGGTCCAAAAGATGAGGCACATTGCTCTTTGTATAAAACCATCACAATTCATTTATCTCAAACTGATTCAATTTGGGCCCATGATGACAAGGACAATAACGAATCATAGAATATAAAATTTGCACATCAATGTATTTCAAAGTTTACAAAATTTGCACATCAATATCATCCTGAGTAAAATGTATCAAAAGCAGCAAATTGTCTTCTCGAAAACTCCTTTTAAACCAAAGACCCCTTTCCTCCTTTCAAAATTCTGGTTACCAATAGAGGCCAGTAGATTTGAAGCTTGAATGCAGCCAATACCTCTTGAAGGAATCACACTTATCTTACAGACCACTGTAATCTAGGTCCCTCTCCAAACACAGTGTACAAATGAAAAACTGAAGAAATCAATAAATTATTCCACATTAGAGCTCAGTTTTGAATCACTTGGGAGCAACTTCTCAAGTAGCCCTTGGCAGTTGTTTCATAAAAGAACATTCAGAAGATAATGATGAAAATATTTCCTGGACTTAGAAAGAATGGTGCTTCATCACCACCATCACCACCACCACCCTTAAACCCCTGCTCCCTCAATAAACATCCATTGTAACTTGGCCATTCTTTCTGGAGATGGACAGTATTGAGAATTACTTTAAGGAGGCAAGGCAAAGCAAGACACCAAATTTTTTCTTGACTTTTGTCTTGTCAAAAATTTAACGAAAAAATCAATCAATTGGCAAAAGACAACTGCATTACCTCATGCTATGAACCTCAATGGGAAACAAATAGAAGGGCAGCTTTACCTACATTATTGGACAAATACACATATAAATCATAATTTCTACATTCAATCTATCATGCTCCGCAGACCATGCTTATTAAGTCACCAACCGTGTGAATTACGGTAAAGTAGCCATGGCAACAGGTTTAAAATGACCACGCTAAGGTCTGTATGACAGCTTTATGTGCTAGTACAGCCATCTCTGCATACGGCAAACTCTATGCAGTACGACTCCGAAAATGGCAAAATTCACATCACATCAAATGCCATTCTTGTCATTATTCTCACATTTACATTTGTTCATCCTCTGTATAAAAATAAAAAAAGGCCATACAGAAGTACTCAAAGCACAGGTTATGTGGTTCATGTTACATATTGCATGCAAGAAAGCATCAAGCTTAAAGTCACCCAACTTCATGGTCCCTCGTATATATCAAAACGGCTCGTCAGCAGCATTAAGCTGTTTACTGTCTGGCTGTTATTGCTTTCCACATGCTTTCTTTGCACACATACGTGCACACACATAAACAAACACTGAAGGAGAGAGGTTCAATCTTATCTATGACTTCAGCGGTTTTAATGGAGCAAATGTAGGCTACACCCTTATCAGAAGTCTTAACGAATAGCTGATTTTCTAACTAAAAGAAATCCCCAATCATGCCCGAACTAAATTCTAATCATTTATAAGCCCTTCATGCATATGATCAAGCCTAACGCTAATGTTTGAATTGTCAACCAAGGTCTGATCTATCTCGCCTCTGTCACCATTAAAACAAAAACAACTCATAAATAACTTTGCCTATTGCATACACTTCAAAGAGGCTATGTTTGCGTTCAAAAGAAATTTGGTGGCACAGCAACAAAGAGAAAGAGCCGTGGAATGCCAGCAGCACTTCAGATGTGCATTTTTTTTCCCACAGGTAATGCCTTTGAGACATTATGATAATTGGTCACAAAATATAAACCCCTCAATATTTCACTTTGAATTCTCAATTTTTCATTTTAGTTATTCACATAAAAAATGTTTAATCCAAGCTGGAACCAACTGGCTTTGTAGCACCTTTAAATCAGCCTTGTCAAGTATAACCAACAAAATAGTATTTTGTAAAATACTCTGTATTAATTTTATTCAAATATCTTAAGTTTAATAACTGCACTTGCTGACACTGCTTAAACGTCTTACAGATTGGTCCTCAAACATGAAAACTTGGACAATATGCCCCCTCTCTTCATTGGGCGACAATCTGCGTGGACTGTACCACTTGTGTATGCCATTTAGGACTGGTCAGCATTTGAATTTCATAATATTTTATTTCATTCTGTATTTCTTCTTGGCAAAATACTATTTTGTTGGTTATACTTTGATTTGAAGGTGTCACAAAGCCAGCTGGGTAAAGCTTCCACTAAAAACTTTTTGTATGAATAACTAAAATGAAAAATTGGGGTGGCATAGCTTCGTGAAAGTGATCCATGCAAACTTGGCACCCATACAAGTAACAGTTAAGTGTAATCAGATTAAAGGTGAAAAAGTATCTTGCCAAGTCTATTAAAAAACAATACACGGTTACACACATACTTTGCATTGTGTCATATCAAATTATACAACAATTTTTCAAAAGTATTTCGTCAATTCCTCCCAAAAAATTACAAGGTAACAGGACTACTTTATTATGCATATCACGTCTAGCATAGACGCCCTACAAGGCCCAATCCACCCACTCAATTCTTTCAAACAGTTCAACTGTAATTTTATGTAAAGTTGCAGGTGTATACAGACAACACGCCTCGACCTAGTTAACTCAAGTAGTAACTGAACCTTGGGAGGTCAATTTTACTGTGTCAACCTATCATGAATTTTGTGAATGTAAGTCTCATTCCTTTATCAGTGCACTTAGCTTGCACAAACTGAAAAGTGCACTTTGACTTTGAAATGATTACTAGTACAGAATGGATGTTCACTGGAAGACAATTATTTTTTTAAAAATTAAACGCGTCACATAAATTATCCACAAGCTGACACTATCCTTAAAGACCACATTTATAATAAATCTCGTCTTTTTTTCTTTTCTCCCTATTAATGATTTTTAAATAAATCTTTTCAAAACTCTGCTCCCCTGCATACTCCCACAAATCATCAGCTATGTAACCTGCTTTTTGGGACAACATTCAAACGACGCGAGAAGACACCCACGAAGGCACGCTGACCTCTGACTCCCTGGGACTACAGTCAGTTTTCACTATCTCAATCTTATATTGATTTTGTGTGATTACATTCTGTCAAACTGAGGCCATTTGTTTCTATACTCGCGCTTTAAGAGGCTATGGTAAGATGTTTCCACAGAGAGGACATTCCATGCCCCCCTCCCCCCCATTTGAATTGACTAGTATACAATTTTTCCAAATATTTCTCTATCTTTGCTTTGGTGCAAATTTCTCTGAAGATTTCTATATTGCATTTACAACAGATTTCTTCTAATGTTTTTCTATCTTTACATTTACAACATACTTCTCTGAATATTTCTTTATGGTATCTTTGCCTTCACAACATATTTCTCTGAATAATTAGCTATCTTTGTATTTACAACATATTTCTCTAAATATTTCTCTGCCTTTGCACTGACAACATATTTCTCTTAGTATCCCAGCTAGGGTCAGGTGAGATTGTCCATTGAAATGCATGGCTCTGTGGGACTGATTTCTTTTTATCTTTGGAGAA